TGGCTGACAGGGTGAGCCTGGAGGTCAGACCACTGTGGTCGGCTACTCACTGGCCCACTGTGCCACCTGGGCAAACCGCTTCACCTCTCTAAGCTTCGGGATTTCTTTTTAAACTTACAAAATGGGTATAATCGTCGTATCACAGAGTAGTTGCCTTCGATTTAAAAACTCCTAAACAGTCCTGGACATTACAGATCCTGGGTGCAGTAGGCACTAGGAAACCATAGGTGTAATATCTATGATAATAACAAACACTGCAACACCTGCAAAAGTATCTGTAAATCTTAAAGAACCATCAAATGCCAGGATTAAGATAGTGACTATTCCTCCGTGGAATCCAATTTCCTCAGTTTAACCAAGGGAAAGAAGGACAGATTTCTAGGTTCTTCTAGTTGCAAACTTCTTTCATTCTCTGCACTCAGAGCAGGTGTGGGCTACATCACGGAGAACAAGGGGCATGATGGGATAAAGCCCCATGGAAGAGTCAGCCACAGTGTATACCGCAACCAACCCCAACGGCAGTCTGCTGCCTCTTTGAACCAGTGGCGAGGTTTTTCTCTCCCACTGATGTAAGTCCTAGTTCCTGGCTCTTGTTATAAGTGCTAAAAAGGTCTTCAGCACCTTTTTGCTCCTCATTCTGGCTGCCCTCAGATTCTTCTGTATGACTTTCCGGTAGACATTCTACTCTTATTGCCAGTAGCTTTAACTTAGCTCTTCACTCTTGACTTTTACGAGGAACCGCTGCAGAAACGACCCATGTTTGGAGAGACCAGAAGCTCTTGGAAAGCAGGATCTGGGCACCCAGGTTTAGGTTCTGTGTGACATGTGTGCACCATCAGGACCCTGCCAACTCCTGGTCACTCCAGGATGTGGGTGTGGACCTCCCCCAGAAGGCTGGGCAGCAACTGGGCACTGCACAGAGAACCCAGGGGGTGGCATTCGAGGACGTGGCCCGACCTTGTCTGGTTGGAAGAGCCATAGCTAGTAGGGGCATTCCTGGGTCACAGCCACCGAGAAGAACCCTGGAAAGTTGACCACCTGAATAAACGGCTCCCAGAAAATCAAGGCCAACACTGCAGCTCTTCTTCAAGATCAAAACATTAATGAGAGAGATAATATATTGGGCAAAACATTGAATCTGTGCATAAACTCTCTTTCCTCAAAAAAAAAAAGAGATTTCAATATGAATTATGTCAAAAAGGGAGGAAAGAGGGAGTTGATGGCCTCCTGAAATCAGTTCAGTTTTAGAAAGTTCTAAAAGCAAAAAAAAATATGTTAGCAGTAATCAGAACTCAGCAGTGATTTCCTGCCGGGATGGCTGTTTTCCTCTTGAATGCTGGTCTTCCCTTTCATCTTCCCAAACAACCTGAGGGTTCCCTTTCAGTGAACACATATTGAAGCTAGTTAGAGAGTTAGTATCCTGGCTGTGTGTGTATCACTTTAAAATGTGAAGTGGTGCTTTGAGAAAGTTAATTTGACATTGATAGCAAGACCAGAAGAGGAAGGGAAAAGACTGGAGCTTGTATGAAGAAGATCCCTTTCCCAGTCATTTCAAGGAAGGTATCAAGCACCTACATTTTGATCTCATCTCTCAAACCCAATCTTTCCCGAGTTTCTCAAATGACTAATATACCCTATCGCCTTTTGAATATATTTTAAAATTCATGTTCAGATCAAGAGGGAGGCATAGGTAAATAAAGCTCAACTCCTGCACAACCACATCAAAATTACAATGAACTACAGAACAAACATCACTCACTACTGTCAGAAATCGAGCTGAATGGAAGTCCGACAACTACGGAATTAAAGAATCCACATCCATCCGGACTGGCAGGAGGGATAGAGACATGGGACAGGCTGATCCCACATCCACTTGTGGTGGATAAAAATTCAGGAGGGAAATCTCAGGAGCAAGGAGTCCCAGCCCCACAGCAGGCAACATCCCCCACCCCCAGCCCAGGGTTCCGCAGACAGGAAGATAAGTCCCCATAACTTCTGGCTGCAGAAACCAGTGGGGATTGAGTCAGTGGAAGAAACTTCTGGAGCCTCAAGCAGTTCCCCTTAAAGAGCCCACACGTGGACTTACTCAGTCTCCCTCCCTCTGAGCTCCAGCACCGAGGTAGCAGCTTGAAAGGCACCAGGGGCACACCGGGAGGGACTGAGGTGTCTGGCGTCAAGGCCAGAGCTGGGGGACAGCTTTATCTCAGACAGAAAAGGCAGGCAGAGGCTACTGTCCCTTTTCTGAGCCCTCCCCCATAGAGCCCCAGAGCCAGAATGTGAGTACCTTATCTGAGACTCATTGACCTGGCTAACACTTGTTTAAAGTAGCTTTTCCATATGAATGGCTGGTCTTTTATCATGTTTCACAACTTCCTGAATCCTCTCAAACAACAGCCTACCTCAGTGAGCCTTCTTGAGTACACAGTTTAAGTGAAAGGGGAGGTTGTGCCACTGGACCCTACAGGACACCTACTACATTAGGCCATGATACTAAGACAGGGAGTCATAGCAGCTCTACCTAATACACAGAAACAAACACAGGGAAGCTGCCAAAACGAGGAGACAAAGAAACACGTCTCAAATGAAAGAACATATTAAAACTATAGAAAAAGAGCTAAAAGAAATGAAGATAAGCAATCTATCAGATGCAGAATTCAAAACACTGGTTATAAGGATGCTCAAGGAACTTTGTGAGGACCTCAACTGCACTAAAAAGATCCAGTCAGAAACAAAGGATACACCAATTATAATGAAGAACAATTTACAAGGAAACAACCATAGAATCAATGAAGCCAAGAATCAAATCAATGATTTGGAACATAAGGAAACAAAAAACAACCAACCAGAACAACATGAAGAAAAAAGACTCCAAAAAATGAGGACAGTGTAAGGAGCCTCTGGGACAACTTCAAGCATTCTAATACATCATAGGGGTGCCAGAAGGAGTAGAGAAAGAGCAAGAAATTGAAAATCTATCTGAAAAAAATAATGAAAGAAAACTTCCTTAATTTGGTGAAGGAAATACACATGAAAGTCCAGGAAGCATAGGGAGTCCCAAACAACATGGATGCAAAGAGGCCCATTTCACCATATATCATAATTAATATGCCAAAGGTTAAAGATAAAGAAAGAATCTTAAAGGCAGCAAGAGAAAAGCAGTTAGTTACCTATAGGGGAGTTCCCATAAGACTGTCAGCTGATTTCTCAAAAGAAACTTTACAGGCTAGAAAGGATTAGCAAGAAATATTTGAAGTCATGAAAAGCAGGGACCTACAGCCAAGATTGCTCTACCCAGCAAAGCTATCACTTAGAATCACAGGGCAGATAAAGAGATATTCGGACAAGGTAAAGCTAAAGGATTTCATCATAACCAAAACATTATTATATGAAATGTTAAAGGAACTTATCTGAGAAAAAGAAAATCAAAACTATGAAAAATAAAATGGCAACAAACTCACAACTATCAAGAATTGGATCTAAAAAAGAAAAACAAACTAAGCAAACAACCAGAACAGGAACAGAATCGTAGTTGCGGAAATCTTTCAGAGGGTTATCAGCTGGGAGGGAAGAGGGAGAAATGGAGGAGAAGGTACAGGGATTAAGCATAATTCTGTAGATACAGAACAGATGGGAGTTTGCTAAGAATAGTATCAGAAATAAGGAAGCCAAAGAATTCATATGCATGACCCATGGACATGAACTAAGGTTGGGGGAGGAATCTTTGGAAGGAAGGGGGGTACTGGGTAGAGGGAAACAAAGAGAGAAAATTAGGACAACTGTAATAGCATAATCAATAAAATATACTTAAAAGTATCAATATAAATGCATGAAGTTATGGAGTGTGCTGTGCTTATGTACAGGGTGGCAAGAGAGGGTAGGGTGACAGGAAGCGCCAATGAGAAAACAAATGGGGTAAAATGTTAACAATAAGTGAATCTGGGCAAAAGGCATACAGCCATTCTCTATACTACTTTAAATTATTTCTTTAAAAAGTAATGTTTAAAAAGCCAACCCAGCGCACTCTGGACCCTACTCCTCAAACAAGATGAGTCTTTTTGCCTCTCATCTTCCTTTTCCCTCTTCTCTAAATCACTCCGCTAAGCTTAGAAACATCTTCTTAATGAAATAAATAAATAAGTAAACAAAACAAATAAATAACAGCAAATATTGCTCTTGCTCCATAGCCACTGAGGTCCTAGTGAAAGACCTGCCACAATTTCTCACTTTCCGTCTACCTTGGACCCCCTCTGGCCTGGCCCCTGCCATCCCCCCACACAGACACTGCTCTTGCTCAAGTCACCAAACACCGCTCAGGCTGCCAATACTGACGGATCCTCTTCAGTTCTTATGCTACTGACTCTTCCACCGCATTCCACAGTGAGGACCACACCCACTTCTCTTGCCTTTGGATCCAACACTGCCCATCGGTCCCTCCAAACTCTCCTTTTCCATTTCCTCATCCTCAACCTGACTTCCAACGGTTACAGTTCCTAAGGTTCTCAGTCCCCTCTGTCTAGAGAGGAGGTCTCATCCATTGCCATGGCTTCAAAAACCACATCCATGCTGAAAACTCCCAAATTTGTTTCCTCAGCCCACGGCTTTGCTCTGAACTACATATTCATACAGACCAAGCCTTGATCTCATGGCTTGAATCGTCTAAAAACTCAGCTCTTGGTCTCCCCAAACTCCAAATCTTCCCATCTCAGTAAGTGCCACTTGAGCTGCTCACATCAGGAAACCCAGATCAGCCCCTGGATGTTGAAACTACAAGCGAGATTTTTTCTTTATGCTTTTCAATGGTTTAAAATTTTCCTACAATAAATATATACTTATGAACACACGAATTAATCAAAATTAAAAGAACCAAAACTTCTTTCTTTGAAACAGAACAAAGCATTGAAAACAGAACACAATGCTTTATAGTCTCTATATTTACTCTTTTACTTTCATAAATATCTAAATGAGGATACAAAAAAGTTAATATTAATTTTATTAATTACCAGAAGTGTTTGGATTTACTGAAGACATCACGGCATTGGCTTCTATCTAGAAAAGAAGAAAGAATAGGGCATAAAATTTCATCAAACTTTTTCACAGTGCAAGTCCTTAATTCCTCAGGAAGAGACTGTATTTTAGGAGAAAGTAACTCTGTTGGGCCCTGCAGGCACACGATGTCACAGGACAGCTATGACAGTCATTTCCCTCTTTCACCAATATCTGTAAGACACCAGACGCTAATCTGCTACAGGCTCTAATGACCCCAAAATTCTACTCCATTGACCAAAACAGAGTAAGCACAGAAAATGGACTTGGCTGTCCCAAATGCGGCATAACCTTAAAGGTGACCTTTCCATTTTAGACAAATATATAAATTGTCACAATGGGCCAGATGGTTTCATTTTATGTTTTTCCCCCAATTGTAAAAAAAAATGATGTTGAAAATTTGAAAAATATTAAAAAATTATGAAGACAATTTTTAAAATCAGCCATCCAATGAAAGCCATTAACATTTTGGCCTAACTTTTTCGTCTGTGCATTTTAAACATATTTAATCACACACTGCATATAAAGTTCGGGGACCTGCCTTCACTAAATATTATACAATACGGTGGGGACCATCATGGAATTAGAACCTTGACAGCACCTGACTTAGTTTCTCTACCTTGGGTTCCATGCCCGGCCCTTTCCTGTTTCCTCCTGCCTCCCCCACAGGGTTCCTACCGCATCTTCTTCAGGACGTCCCCGTCCCCTGCCTCTTCTCTTAAATGGTGCTCCCCAGTCTTCTGCCCTCAGACCACTGCCCACCCCTCTCCGCATACTCTCCTTGGGCAATGCCACCCAGTGTCCTGTGTTGAGCGGTATACCACCTGTGAGCTGAGGAGTCCCCGGTCTATCTCTGGCCCTCACCTCTCCCCGCCCCCCTGCCCCCAATTTCAGATTTACCGTATCACAGAGAGGAAGCCCAACCTGAGAGCAGATCTTCACGGCCACACCCCAGCACCAGCACGGTATTTGGTGAGTGAAGGCACCTGGCACACTCACGGCCCCTCAAACCTAATGTGCCCCCATCAGAACTCCTTGACTTTTCACTGAAACCTGTCCCCAAATTTTCGTACTTGGTGGCATCACAGTTGCTTCAGTCCTGGTGTCACGCGACTCTCTTACCATCACCACGTCCAATCAATCATAAGGGCATGACTTCTCCCGCCACCACGAAGCGCTCCCAGGCACTCCCTATCAGAGGCCCGTCGGGCTCCTCTAGTCTGAATGACACTCGGACTCCCATTACAGTTGTCGCTAGACTCTGACCGTCACTAGGGTCAGAACCTCCTCCTTCCCCTTCACTTTTTGTTCTTCTCTTAGTTAGTCTCTGTACACTGAACTGTAAACAACTGCAAAGCAGGGGCGATGTTTTATTCATTTTCTATTTCTAGCAAGTAGCAAACTCTTTTTATTAATTAGGAACACAATCATTTCACTGGGTAAACAACTGCATGTGATTTATGACGTGAGTGTTTTAACTGCTTCACGACCTGCATTCAGCAAATATTTCATTTACTCAAATGCAATACTCGAAAAAAAAAAAACCCCAAACCTCAACCCAGTAGAAAAGTAAAAAAAAAGAAACTATTACATTTCATACAGGGTACACATTAAGTGTTACTTATTTAATAAAACTTTATTCTACAAATGCTTGGTAAGTGTATAGGTGACTTGCTATACCAGTTCTTTACTCTTTAGTGATCTGCAGTCAGTAAAACACTTCATTAGGTTAAAAATACAAAAATACAATCCAAAACCTCAACCAGGTATGAAAATAAAAGCTAAAACCTGTTAAACTTCATGGAGTGAACATACATAAGTTACCACACCACCATACCTGTCACCAAGTTCCTCACTTACACTCCGAAATTAAAACCAACCAAGTAGACTCCAGGGTGATATCTTTCCAGTGGAACACAGTCATAAAGACAATGCTTCAAAGGCAGAGTCTGCTTAGCTGACCTGCTTTAAAAGTCCAGCTGAAATGACTGCAGGTTAACAGAAGAGCTGCAATTTCTGGGAGCCGGCCCTGGCTTCTCCTCTGAGCTTTGTAATCAGCCACTCAGTAACGGACATGGCCTAGTACTTGAACCACTCTGAACCCACCTGGGGTATTCATATGGTCACAGACCATATTTACCATGTTGTGATGCATTTAAGCATAATGAAGGACGGAGAAGTGGGACATCATGTGGTCTCTGGCTTTGCTGGGCTTGCACAGAGCCCCCGCATGAGCAACAATGGGTCAAAGTGATAGCCAAGCTGTTTGGTCTACCAAGGGCATGAGGGGAAAGCATTGCAGGCAGAGTCCTGAGTGCTCCCTCTGCTTGATGACTCCAGCTGAATTTCTTAATCCTGGACAAGATCTTGCCTCGGATTAATTCCAGTTCAGCAGCTTAACAAGAGCTGGGTCCCACTTCTAGAATGCGATGTAACAGCACAAAGATGGGGGGGAACGGGAAACTGGCCCTACTAAAGTAGGAGAGTCATCGAAATTCAGCTCTACTCTCATTATTAGTAAACTAATGCAACCTTTCCTAGAGACCAATGTCCAACAACAATTCAGATGTGCCTAGGACTTGTACTTCTAGGAATTTCTTCCACGGATGTACACCCACAAGCACAGATACAGATACAAAAGGCTGCCCACAGCAGCAATGTTTGTAGACACGAAACATAGGGGAACCAATCTAAATGACCAAAACCAGGAAACTGGATAATAAGAAGACTACGTTTTTAATGGGGTGGTTGTGGGTGCTTTTATGTTCAACTACCCTTAAGTCAGAAAAGACAGTGATATTTTCATGTACATGTTTGCCTTGCAGAGGAAATTTTGGAATGATACACAAGAAAGTTCCTAGTGGTAAACCGTAAGTGGGATTCCCGTAGTGGGGTGGGGGGAGGAGTTTACATGCAACTTTATACTTTTCTGCAGTTTGAACTTTTAGTATGTTAATGTATCACCTCTACAATTTAAACAAAGAAAAAAATTAAATAATAAAAAAACCCCTGCAGGTCACTTCCTCTGTGCCCTCCCTCTCCACACCTTCCGAGCAGCTCATATTTCACGGGCTCTAGTGAGATGGCTTTCTTAATGCATCCCTAAGTTGGGTTCTAGAGGAAAAAAAAATGAGTAAAATTCAGCACCGGGCACATCTCTGAAACTGCTTATAAGGCAGCGATTAACCATATAAATATCTTAAGCTAGCCCTCTGCACTCTACCACGAGGATCCATTCATCATCAGAGCTTCTTATTGTCTGCCCCATCCCTAGACACAAAGAAAGCTGTACCTTGGAAGGCTTGTACCCGAACAGCATTACAATAGCAACTTTAAAGTCCTCTCTGCTTAGGTAGCCTTTGTTATCTTCATCACAGACTTTGAATACCTAAGGAACATTAAATATCTTTCGTTAAGACAGAAACCTTTCAATTGTTCTATTATTTTTCTTACTAGTCTTAATTTGAGCCTCCAAAACCTAAAACTCGGCCCACCAGTAGGCTTGCAACTGGAGTGTCATCATCTCGCTGTTAATACTCAAAAAATCTTAATTATTTGCTAAACTTACCCCTCAGAAATTGCAATGACTTAATCGCTAAACTGACACAAATTAATTCCTTTAAACTTCTGTGATAATTTCTGCCCAAAATTCGGTCCGAGGATTAGGATACTGAAGCAAAGGGACTTGCCTGCTCTGAAAGGCAGGAGGAGATATGCAGGTTGTTACTGAACTACGCAGCGAAGAACAGAAGGGACTTAGAAGTAGCCAGGACACAGGACAGGGAGCCAGAGCCTAGCAGCACTAGGCTCAGGCATCAACAATGACACTTGGGATTGACAGACCAGTCTTAATCTACGCAACCCCGAGTCAAGTTAAAATCCGAGACACCTACTTCCACCCATCTCTTGTGTTCCGAGCGGCTGGCTTCCCACGTCTTTGGCCGGGCCCCGACCTGGGAGAAGAACATCTCGACCGCCACAACCAAATCGAGACAACCCAGCGACCTCCGCAAGCCCAACGAACCCCAGCCCACCCACCAAGCTCGCTCCCGCTCGCGAAACTGAACGAGGCACAGCACCTCCAATGTCTGCTCCCATTGGACGATCCGCAAGCCACCGGTGTTGGTGCCGCAGTTCTATTGGCCAGAGGCTTTGTTTAAGGACGTTTCCTTGGAACAGCCTATGGCGGAGAGTCTCTCGGGTCCGCCCCCGGCGCTGGACCACGCTGGGTCTGGTCCCCTTAACTCCTTATGCGCGGCTGGAGAGCCAGCTCGCCCAGGTCCTACTTCAATGACTCTCTGCCCCCACACTTCGCAATAAGTTACTTTTGATAACTATGATCTACCACAGTGTGCTTTCATAGGAGACACAAAGAGTGTGGACAAAGCATATGAAGAATCGAACAAAACGAGCCAAGTCCAGCATTCACGCGCAGATCAGCAAGTCATTGGGTTCCGGCCGCACGGGGTCAGTTTTGTCCTCCCTGAATCCCCAGCACGTAGCACGATGTCTGGCACAGACAAACCGACTGAACCGTGAGGACATTTACACAGGTTAGTTTCTTCAGTTGTCCGGGAGAGGAGGTTGTATGAAAGAAACTCCAAGAGTAAGTAGCACAAACAGCACTGAGCCCAAATTCCATCGCAAACATCCTTATTAAAGGTAGGGGGTGTGGAGAAGGCTCCGTTTTGCAACCGAGTTAGTCTCGGACCGCTCTTTGTTCAGGCAAATCAGTAAGATTCAAAAGCACACGCACGCTCAGAGACATACACACCGGTTTCAAATCAGAAATGGGCATTCGAGGTCGATTCCGAGGGGGAGCTCATTTAACTTTGTATTTTACAGCAGGTGTAACACTGTGCGCCCCAGGCGAGCCCGCTTCTCCCGGGACACAGGTCTCAGCCCTTAGCCACCTCGATGCTCAGCTGGTCCTCTCTCGGCCTCTAGAACCACCGCCCCCCACCCCGCACCCCAGCCTCGAGCCCCGAGAGCCTGAAGCTGTCCGTGAGAATTCCAGTGAATGGGATGTGTTTTGCTAATTAACTGAGAGAAGGAGGTAACAGTTATTTTCCTCTCTCCGGTTTTATTTTTTGTTTGTTTGTTTTGTGTTATGTCCTTTTTTGAGAGAAGTGGCCAGGAGGTGAGCCGAGACCCAGACACCAAGTCACCCCTTCGCCTCCTGCTGGGAGAGCTCGTGGCAACCCCTTGTATCCGGCGGTCTTTGGGACCCAGCGGCGGACGTCCCGGAAGGGGAAGGCGAAGGCGAAGGGGCTGAAGCTCCGCCGCGAGGTGCTCGCCGGTGCCGGGAGAGTTTGAACTGCGCGCAGGCGCCGGGACCGAGGAGGGGCGGGATCCCGAGCGGCTGCGGGCTTCGGAGCCACCGGCGGCTGCGGGAACTGGGCCTGCGCTAGTGCTGCTTCCGGCCTGGTGGCGGTGCGCGGGCAGCGTGGATCCCGCGAAGTCGTGAGGTCCCGGCGGGGCTGGAAGCGGAGCATCTTGTAGAAACTAGGTAGGGTCCCCTCCTAGGCCTCGACCTCCTCCAGTGCCTGTTAGGTGCGAGCAGCTGGCGCTGCAACCCGAGTCCTGCGGGAGTGGGGACGTGAGGCTCCCCCTGCCCCGGTTCTTATTCCGGCTTCTCGGCTTAGTTAGGTGGGTGGTCTCTGCTGTTAGGGGTGAGAGCCAGCTCATGGTGAGCGTTTATCCCATGCTGGACATTTAACCTTTCTGTGCTCAGTTTCCCCGTAAGTGGGAACAGTCGTGGTACTTGGTGTAGACTTCTTGTGAAAGTGAAATGAGTTAATCCCTGGTGAAGCGCTTCGATTGGTGCCTGGCCCAAGGTAAGCGCACAGAAAAGTTAGCAGCTGTCATTATTGCCCTAAACGTACCCCGAATCCACTCACTTCATTCCATCCCCGCCGTTTTCCATCAGGCAGCTCCCCGAGTGTGTTTGCAGGAGCTTCCTCACTTCGACTTCTGTCTCCTTCCAAATCATTCTCCACTCAGAGTTGTTAGAAACGGAATATTTTTAAAGGGGTAAATAGGACCAAGGTACTCCCCTGCTTATTAAAGCCCTTTGATGGAGCCCCACAGTTCTTAGAATAAAACCCAGTATATTTACTCGTCCCCACCCTCTTCATCCTGGACCATTGTGTTACTTGACCAAGTCCTTCCCTCTGCTTCTGCAGTTACTACAGCCTGGTTCCCAGCTCGTGGCCTTTGCAGGTTGGGTTCCCTCTACTTGGACTACTGCTTCACCCCACCGCTGCTGGTACCTTTCATCCTCCAGATCCCACTTAAATGTTACTTATTCAGAGTGTTCCATAGTAAGGGCATCCCTGATTCTGTCTCACACCTGTAAAACGTAAGGAATGTCTGTAAAGATATCTTGGTTTTTTTGTTTGTTTATTTTTCTGTCGGGCTTTTTCTTCCCCCCTGAGATATGTTAGCTCTTCTAAGGCAGAAAACGTTTGTATGTGGTTAACTCTTTATTCCCAGTGCTTGGCACATGGTGGCTGCTCCATAAGTATGTCGGATGAATGAACTCAGGAACGTAGGTATGATGCCCCTTTTATAAAGAAGGATACTTAGGTTCAGCAGTTAAGTAACCTGTCTGCGTGCACATTTGCTACCTAGTAATGACTAGATTTGAAATCAGGGCCCATGTTTACCCACTAAAAGGCCCCAGAGGGTCTCCACGGAGGAGCCTTACTCCTGTGCCCTCCTGATGTTTTCTGCAAACTCTTTAAGCAGCAGCCAGGTGTAGTATGGCGGGGGAGAAGGAGAGCTAGCAGCTTTAAGAGGAGTACTCATTTGCATCCACAAATTTTTCAAGTCCTTAATAAAAGCTGTAAAGCTTCAAGTTGGCAATTGGAGGGGAGTTTCTTTAGATTTTCAACCTTCTCGGCATCTATTTTCCTTTTGTGAGATAGAGAAAGTAGAAACTAGACTGTTTGGTTTACAAAACAAAAATGCTTTGCTTCAGTACAAGTTCTTTGTGGGACTTAGCGTTTTGATTTAGGATCAGGACAGTAAGCTATTACGTTAGTTGGGTGCTCATGGAAATATATACTTCTAGGTAATGTATATATAGAATCGATCATGTGACACTGTTTTGAGGATTTTCTTAAGATTTATGGTAAGTAGCTCATCTTTGGGGAAGTAAGAAATAATCACTGAAGTCCTTCAGGCTCCAGGCTTCAGTGAGGGATAGCTATGTAAATCCCAGTTTGGCTGTAACAATTTGAGCATCCTCAGAATTACTCTTGAAACTTCTTAAATTGGCCTGAACGCCAGCTAACCCAGCAGCTGGAAGCTTCACGGTCAAGAATGAACATTTTTGTTTTGTTTTGGACTTTGGCTCAACCCCTATTCCCGGGGCATCTAAGAACAAGATCTAGGTTGAAAGATTAAGGGAGGGGAGGAGAAGGTGACCAGGATTTTGGCTGACACTTTCTTTGCCAAATTCCATAGCAGAGTTTGGTAATGTGTCCCTAAGCACCTGAAAAGCAGCTGATGTTGGTTACGAGGCTCAGCGCCTGGTAGGTATCAGGTGCTGTATGTATTGTAGACACTCACAGGACAGGGAATTTGAGAGCAGGAAAGCTAGTTTACCAATGTCCTAGTGAATGGGAAGTAACAATATTTCTGTCTTTCATTTCCAGAGATATAATGTCTCAGGAAGGTGATTATGGGAAATGGACAATATCGAGTAGTGACGAAAGTGAGGATGAAAAGCCCAAACCGAACCATCCGTCTACCTCTCTTCCCCCCAGTGCTGGGCACCAAGCAGCCTATGAGCCTAGGTACACCTGTTCCCAGGCTCGGAAAGCCGCCCACAGGAGGAAGATATCACCCGTGAAGTGCAGCAACGCAGATGCAGCCTCAGAAGTTTCACCCCCCAAGAGGCAGAAGAGCAGTTCCCAGGAAGAGCTGGGTTGGTGTCTCTCCAGCAGTGACGATGAGCTGCCCCCGGAGACGCAGCAGAAGGTGGCCGAGAAAGTGGCAGTCAAAGAGGAGAAAGGCATTGCCTCGCCCAAAGACGGTGCTGCCCCAACAGCTGGAAATCACGGCCCTCCTGCCCGCCATGCGCTCACAGAGGACAAGGAGGAGTACGAAACGTCTGGGGAAGGCCAGGACATTTGGGACATGCTGGATAGAGGGAACCCCTTCCAGTTTTACCTCACTAGAGTCTCAGGAATTAAGCCCAAGTATAATTCTGGAGCCCTGCATATCAAGGGTAAGTGGCGCCGGTGTGGGGAGCTGCCAGCCTGCTCGTGCGGGTGAAACCCGGGCGGTGGAAACCCAGGTGGTCGTCCAGAGTGATCTCCGAGATCCGCGTGGTCTTGACCACCCTCAGGGAAAAGAAAAATGCCATTTTAACGGCAAACTGTTTACTTCGGGCAGGAAATCAGAGGCTGTTTCTCACAACCCCGTAGATGAACACTTAGTGTGACGTTTTAAATTGTTTAACTTTTCACTTAGAGATTAAACTTCATCAACAACAGTTTATTCATGAGGTAGCAAATACTTGACATTGGCAGTTCTCTTTGGTCCCTGAGTCGGCAGCATCACAGTTTTCACAGTGGTGACTTGTTAGAAATGCAGGGTCTCCGCCCCACCCACATTCAGTGGGGGTGAGGCTCTGCAATCTGTGTACCAAGCCCTTTAGAGGGTTCAGATGCCCGGTCAAGTTTGAGGACCACTACTTGGCAGCCTGGCTTTGGTTCTTGCCAAAGAAACTAAAAAAAAAAAAAAAAAAAAAAGCCGGCATGCAAATAGGTGTTTTCATTCTGAACCAAAAGATGGTCTTTGGTTGCTTCAGTTATTCCCCGGGGTGCATCTGTGTGATACTGTGTTATATATTTGGTCTTCATCTCTGGCATATTTGGTTTTTGTTCTAGGCTCCTGAAACAGCTCTAAAGTAATAAAGGTCAAGGGAGTATGTTTTGTTATTTATAACAGGCCCTTCTCAGCCACACCTGGGCTTGTGTGAATGAGGTGACGTTGGGAAAGCCCCTAAGAATGGGGGGCTGGTTGCCCAGTGAACCAACCACACGATTAAAGGTGGAACTTGCAGCCTCGTCGCCCACCTCCAGAGAGAGGAGAGGGACTGGAGGCTGAGTTGATCACTAATGGCCCATGATTTAATCAAAATGCCTGTGTAACAAGGCCTCCTTAAAAAACCCTGGCTGAGTGGGTCTGGAGAGCCTCCAGGCTGGAGTACCCACGGAGGTGCCAGGAGGAAGGTGCTAGGAGAGGTGCCAGGAGGGAGGTGCTGGGAGGGCACCAAGCTCCGTACCCTTCCCCATGCCCCGTGTGGCTCTTCCGCCTGGCTCTTCCCAAGTTGCACCTGTTATAGTAAACCACTCATCCAAAGTGCTTTCCTGAGTCTTGTGAGACTAGCAAATGATCAGACCTGAGGAGGGGATCATGGGAAGTTACAGGCAGAGAAGTCCAGGAGGTCTGGACTTGTGATGGGCGTCTGAGGTGGGGGCTGAGCCCTTAACCCGTGAGATGTGATGCCAGTGCCAGGTGGATGGTGTCAGAATTGAATGAAATTGGAGGATATCCGGCTGCAGAGAATTGGAGAATCGGTATGTGGGGAAAACCCAGCGCCCTTGGTGTCAGAAGTGTTAGGTGAAGAGAGGAAACAGTTTTCCTTTAAGGAGGAACAACAGGAGCCCAAGAATCAAGACCCGGGATTTGAAACCTGGCTTCACCGCTCCCTCGCTGTGTGTGTGATTAACAAAGGACCCACCTGCCTTTCTTTATATTTCAGTTTGCTCTTCTTTTAAACTGGGGTCTCAGAAAAAAGGAGGGAAACACAGGAAGTGACCGGCACAGCAGGCTAACATGGCTGATACACAAAGTGAACATTATCCTTATTCCGGATCACCTGTTTTTCTGGCCCACTCTCAAGATTGGGTTATGTCCCACCATCAGTAATGTTTTAATTGCACATAGTTATATAATTACATATTATATATCTTCTCTGATACGTAAATGTTGGTGTATCTAACTCCACACTGTAAGGGAGTTAGATTTGACAGGTCATTTTTTTTCTGTTTGAGATTCTCTTGTGTGGGTACTTTCAAGAAATATGGGCCAGATCTCAGTGCTTTCGTTTTGTTTTGTTTGACAGCAGTGGATGCAGAGAACTGTGCAAGGTTTTGCCATGTAATAAAGTGATAAAGACTGGCTGTTAGCACCAAGATGAGGAGGAAGCGGAGGGAACGTTGAGATGGGAGCTTTGCACAGAGCGTCTCCTTTAATTCTCACAACAGCCTGTTAGGAGATGTGACAGCTGTCTTCCTCGGATGCGCAGCGGATCTGCAGTTTAGGCAAATTGAAAACCTGCCCAAGGTCACAGGGATGGTAAATGGTAGAGCTGGGGTTTGAGCCCAGGAATTCAGCGTCTTAACTGTTCACTGTGTCAGTCCAACGTGTGGAAGGGGACATACGACATGTATTGGGTTGGCCAAAAAGTCCGTTACGTTTTTAAAGACATTTTTCATTTTCACCAATAACTATTGATTTGGCTATTTTGACTATGTTGGCTTTCTCCCACGTGGTATAACATTGATTGTTATCAATGTGTCAGTTTGATCACTGTCAATTTCACCTGCTCTACCAGACCATGGAGCATCGTCCGCTGAGAAACCTCCAGCACGAAACTTCACAAACCACTTTTGACACATTTGATCAGTCATAGCACCTTCTCCATATACCGCACAAATCTTTTTTGTGTCTCAGTTGCGTTTTTACCTTTCTTGGAATAATAAAATATAATGTGCTGAAAATGTTGTGTATTTCTTCTGTCTTCAGTATTAAAATGGCTGCACAAAAATTCACCAGTTTGGATTTTTTTTAATGCACACTGATATGACAGTTGTCACAATACAGTCCAACAAAATTGTTTTGAATGAACTTAAAGACAACTGAGCACTACTAGAGCCATCGAACTGAAAAAAGATAATTGACTTTTTGGCCAACCCAGTACAAAATTGTGGGTTGTTCAGAAGATGTCACTGAGGAGGAGGGGCCGCAGATGGGCCACGACAGATGAGTAAAACCAAGGTGGGAAGAGCAGTGACTGGTGGGGCGGAATGGGGGGACACTGTCACGGACTCTGTGGCAGTTTCATCTCCTGGTGCTACAGCTCCCCCGAAGGTAGGAGCTTCCCTCAGAGGAGTTTTCTGTGCTGTAAAGCCTTTGTGCCTCGGCATCCAGCTCGTGTCTGGAAGGCAGGAGGCGCTCAGTAAATACGGGTCACAGAGGAACGAGCCCATTCTTCATCCTCGGAGACACTGGGTGGTTAAGAGCAGCAGTGCTGGAGCAGACTGGGCAGCCTGGGTTCAGATCCCGACTCTGCCCCTGCCTCCGGGAGACCGTCCCTCACGGACACAGTGGGAGCCACAGATCCCGCCCGGGAAGCTGTCAGAGAGGAATAAGAGTTAACACGTGGGAAAAGTGTCAAGAATGGAGCCTGGCGCCTCCTGGGTCCTGTGCCAGTGTGGCTGTTAGGACCAGGGGTGGCGATGGTGAGTGGTCGGGTCCTTCCTGTCGAGGTGGAGTTAGTGCAACGTGAGCTCCAGCCTAACCGAAGTGGCGCTGGGATGGGTGAGAGATGGGACTCCCTCAGAGACAGCAGAGAGCGCTGGAAACACGCGTGTAGAGCCGTGGCTGCCTCTGCCTCCCAGGAGCCACGTTAGTCCCGGGCTGGGGAGGCAGAAATTAGGAAATCTGGAAGGAAGAACAACATGCATCATCATTGTCCTCATTGGCAGCTTCTAAAATTGACCGCTCATCCAGTATTGAAGTTGTAGCTTTTAGTTTTATATTATATTGTGTTAAAGAAAACATGGTATTATTACATAACAAATTTTCCCTTGAATGTTACAGGACACTGAAGTCTTAATTCTGTAGTAATTTTTCAGTTCTCTGTTTTCTAAGCCAAATTTTGAGCATTGGTGACTATTAAGTCAGTTGTGATTATTTTTTTATTGATTGATTTTGGGGAGAGAGAACAAAACATCGATTTGTTGTTCCACTTCTTCATACATTCATTGACTGCTTCCTGCATGCGCCCTGACTGGGGTTGGAGCCTGCGGCCTTGGCACATCGGTATGACGCTCCGGCCAACTTAGCCACCGGGCCAGGGCCTGTTGAGATTATTGTTACTGGGAAATTTTTATCAAAATAAGAATTAGGTTTAAATATTTTGTCTTCTCAGATATTTTATCGCCTCTGTTTGGGACACTTGTATCTTCAGCACAGGTAAGTTTTTGTTTGCTTGTTTGTTTGGGGGTTTTATTTTTTTATGAAAGGGGAGAAATAATTAACTCCGTAAGGAACTATGAGCGATGGGGACCCGAGTCTCAGTCCGCTGCAGGGTCCCTGAGATGGCACATCCACCAGCCACCAGCATGAAACAAGGGCACCGCTGTCAGTAGGCTCCTGGCTCTGGATGAGGCTGCAAGGACTGGCTCAGGAGTCACTTTGGAAATGTCAGCCTGAGGGCTGGGGACACCAGTGATCTCCTGGGACTCTGATGCAGCCCCCCAGGGAGGTTTGGGTAGAGAGGTGAAAGCCAGCTCAAGTTTGATTTAGAAAAGTAAGACATTTGCTGCAGCTACCAAAAAAATGAAAAGGTGACGAAAAGTTATATGACTCCTTTTGCACGTTTGGTTGCTCCCACCAGACAGGGCTGGTCCCTTCATTTTGATAAATCACTTAATGCCCCAGGCTGTTGACTCAGTGGTCAGGGAGAAGGTCCCCCCTCTGAAGAGAGCAAAGGGTTCGGGGCCTCGCCCATTTGGCGTGGCCCGGAGAGTCCTCCTCCCAGGTAGAACCATGGGGTGGGTTTTTGTCCTAGCTAGCCCGAGTCCCTGTATCCAGGAGGAGGGGCAAGGGTCGCTCAGGTGTGGGGAGGAGCCTTTTATAATCCCCTGGGGGGAGGGGTCAGTGGGTAAGTCCCTTTGTTGAAGTTAATCGGAGCCAGTACGAGGGCTGCCCACGGAGAGGGCCGCCTCGGAGCCGCTTTCTCAGGACTCCTCCCCCGTTGGGTCCCGTGGGCGTGTGTCCTCTCCAAGACGGATTCGAGGCTTGTTTCTGAGTATTGTGGCAGTATTACTGCCTAGGTTTATAAATGAAATATGTAGTCTGTCATTATTTCAGTGTTTCTTTCCATTAGTGACCAGTTCTCCGTGTAGACTGCCGGGCTGGATTGCCCGTGCTCAGTGCCTTGTCTTTCTCCCCCGTCCAGTTCAACTACTGCTTCGACGTGGACTGGCTCATGAGACAGTATCCACCCGAGTTCCGGTGAGTTCCCTGTGACGCCAGACGGCGTCCCAGCTGTCAGGGGCTTTAAAGCACAAGGTTTGTGCCTCTCAGGCAGCTCCCTGCCATCTTTCTGAATCTTTTAATCCAACCCATCATACACACCTGAAGTTACCTGAGAAAACGACTTTTTTATCTGTTCTAACTAATCACGTGCATTCCTTACACAGATCTTATCATTTCCCTCCACTGCTCAGTCCAGAAGTAGATGACGACAACCTCCAACCCGAGTGAGATAAGTTTATGTCCAGGGTCAGTGTGAAGGCCAGGGCGCCGCCTCCCGCTTGCCGGCCCGTGAGCTCGCGGGCACATGGCCGTCCTGCTGCGCTCCGCCTGCCGCCCCAGCGCTGCTGTGAGACTCTCCCCAGGGTTCTTCCTGCAGCCTAGGGGTTGATGAAGGTGTCCTGGGGCCTTCCCCGCCCCAGGCGGTGGAGGAGGTAGAGTTTCAGTCCGTCTTCTGGGGGTTCCTCGGCCCGGGGTTGGGCAACGCAGACCGGGTGGATAGCATCACACCGTGACGACGTGCACCCGTCCTGGTCTTTAACACATTTACATGACAGACTCCATGACAGCAAGTGAGGTCCAGAAATGCTCGTGCAGGGAAAATGGTTATCATATCCTCTCGGTCCTTGGTGCGTTTAGGGGTCACATGGTGGAAGCCCTCGAGTTAACAGTAGAGGAAATGCCGTTCAGACTTCCCAAGGCCTCGGCACTCAAGGGCTCGTATTGGACCTACAACCCATGGGATTAGTTTTAGCTGCACGTGACAAAAAACCCAAAACAACGGTGGCTTAAACAGTGAGAACAGCATTTCTCCAGCTTAAAAAGTCCAGGTAGTGGGCGTCAGGTCTACATCGGGGACCGCCATGGCTCTCAGAGACTTAGCCCCTCTGTCTTTCTGTCCCACCACCCCCGCGTGTGACTTCAGTCTTCAGAGACACCTTGGGGTCCAGGATGGCACCTGATGCTCCAGATCCCTGGTCTGTGGTCCAGGTGGCGGGGGAGGAGGCTGAGAGGGCCACATCCCAGCTGTGTCCCCCTGAGCAGCCTTCCTGGAAGCCCCCCTCAACACCTGCCTGTGTTTCGCTGAGTGGCCCTCAGTCCCAGGACAGTGACGGGCTCTGAAAGAGGCAGTGAGTGAAGTCAGCCGACACACCCTGTCCTGACCGAGACCGGCTCTTGTCAGGAAAAGGGAGGAGAGGCCAGGCATCAGGAGGCAGCGAGCCGTGTACGTGGGTCGTCCCGGCCACGGCGTCCTTAGTTGCATTGGCACTCTGTCATGTGTCCCTTTGCTTCTCAAGTTGCCATACCTTTCAGGTGTTGCCAAAACACAGACTTCAGTTCCTGGAGACGAATCTGTCGGGCTGAATTGTCTCACTCCCAAACAGGGTCGCGTTCCCACTCCCAGCGCCTCCGAAGGCCTCCCGATTCAACAGGAGGGCTGGTTCGGGGATCGCCCAGTGAAGGTGAGGTCATTAGGGTGGGTCCCACTCTGACGATGCCTCGTCCTCACAGGAAGGGAGATTGGGACACGGATGCACCCAGAGTGAAGGCACAGGGCACCCTGTCCAGACGCTGGGGGAGGGCTGGAACAGGGCCCTCCCTCACACACACACACACACACACAGGGCCAGCCCTGCTGACCCCTGACCTCAGACTTTGTGCTTCCAGGACTGTGAGACAAAAGGTTTCCATGGTTAAGCCCCCGCTGTGGTGCTTCACTGTGGCAGCCCCAGCAAACTGGTGCAGTGGCTCCGGTACTGGTACCGGGCTCTTGGCACCTGTGGTCAAGGGGCAGGAGGGTCCTGCCGGCCCCACACCCACTCGTTGCTGGACGCACCTTGGGAATGTCGTCAGGAGCATAGTCAGGAGGAAGAATGGCTTGAATGTCAAGTTCAGGTAAAAATCCGGACTGTACAGAGAGAAAAACTCAGATCGTAGAGGCCTGCACCACCTTCTGTTGTTGTACAGTTGCCACCTGTAGGAGGGTTTTCCAGAAGAGCAGAACCTGGTAGGAGATACACAGGGCAGGGGGACAAATCAGGTTTACAGCTGTGAGAACATGAAACACAGTTTATTCTTGCAGCATTATTTATTAACTATTTTCCATGCAAACAACTGTAAACCTACTTTTGCCCGCCCTATATGTGGAGATTCGTTGTGGACAGTTGGCTCGATCAGGGAGAGAACAGATTCCCCCTCTGCCTCCCCCCAACTGGGTGTGCCCCCCCCCCACTGAGTCCACCTGTTCACCTGCTCTTCTCGTCCGGAAACCCCCACGGACTCGGCCAGAGGTCATGATTGGACCGGGCACCCCTTGGCCCTGTCGGGTTGACACATAAAATTAACTGTCACAATGGCCTTTTTGTGATAGTTTTTGGAACCAATGAAGTAGAAGGAATTAATGCAGACTTCAACCTCTGTCAATACTATTTCATCCTTCAAAAAACCCTGATGACCTGATAACACCAGTTGTTGCTGGGTGATAGGTGCTTGAGTTTCTGTTACCTCGTTCTCTGGACTCTTTTTCTAGTTGTAAAATAGAAAAAAGTTGGGAAGGCGCGTTCCTTATTTTACTTGGACTAACACGTTAGTGGGAGTTAAGCAGCCAGGCACTTGGACCGGAATTGCGTTTCTGTCATCTTCCCGTCCATGGCTTGGCGCCCCTTCGTGTGTGCTGGGGACCCCTCGGCTCTGCAATTGGAGGATGCGGAAGCGGCTATAGTTGCTCATCTTGCTTAATTACTTGTTGGAGAAAGATCCAATTTCTTTTTCATTGGGAGCACTCGTAAAGGTATATTGATTTCTAAGGACTATCTCCCTTTGAATTACCTGGAGAAGATTGTGATTCCCTTAAAAGCCTTTTCAATCTGGCCTGTTCCTGAAGAGCATTTGTATGTCGTCCTTCAGGAATTCAAGAACACAGCATTTCTAGTGTACCTTGGGCTCATTGGAATATAACCACCTTTAATGAGTCTGCATCGTGCTGTGGAAGTGGGCCTGTTCACTCATGTATCCTGGGAGTCCAGTGCAGTGTCTAGCACACAGTAGGAGCTTGGTAAATGCAGACCTAGTAAGGGTCCAAAAAAGGGAAAGAAAAGAGCATCGTATCTTTTAACCCATCTGAATTTAAACATATTAACACAGAGCTGTGTGCCCTTTGGGACCAAAGAAAGTAATTCATTCAGCCCTGGCTGGTGTAGCTCAGTGGATTCAGTGTGGGCTGTGAACCAAAGGGTCACTGGTTCAGTTCCCAGTCAGGGCACATGCCTGGGTTGCAGGCCAGGTCCCCAGTGGGGGACGCATGAGAAGCAACCACAGGGTGTTTCTCTCCCTTTCTTTCTCCCTCCCTTCCCCTCTCTCTAAAAATAAGTAAATAAAACCTTAAAAATGAAAAGAATTCATTACTCAAGGACTTTCTTGAATCACAGCCCCTCTGGGTTGCCACGGAGCTTCAAGATTCGGCCACGTGGGCCCGAGGTAAAGGCGAGTGGTCGGTGGAGACGAACCAGCTCTGTGTTGGCCCCATCCTCAGTTACCACTGAGGCCAGACGCTCGGTGGGTGAGAAGGAAGCTCACATTCCCTCACTCGGCACGAGTCCGGCTTTCTGAAGGACGCGCTTTGAATGTGCTCCCACTCCCTTTTCAGGAAGAAGCCGGTCCTGCTTGTGCACGGCGAGAAGCGGGAAGCGAAGGCTCACCTGCACGCCGAGGCGAAGCCTTATGGGAACGTTTCCCTCTGCCAGGTGAGCCGCTTGCTGCCCTCTGAGGTCGTGCTCGGTCTGCGAGTCGGAAGGCGGTCAGACATTTCACCTGCCCACCTGCCCAGTTCAGGAATTCTCTCTCCAACACCCCCAACACATACCTGTCTAGCTTGGGCTCAGATGTTGCCTGTGGTGGCCCCTGTGGTTAGAAAGATTCTTCTTCACATTGACCTCGTGTCCCTGCATTAGTCAGTGCTCTTCAGGGACACAGCCTAGGGCAGGGGCAGGGGGGAGGTTTGGCGGGGGGTAGGGGGCACTGGCAAGTCCGAAACCCAGGGAAGAGTGGGTGTTGCAGCTGGAGCCCACAGGCGGTCTGGGGGCTGAATTCCCCTTCCTGGAAGGAGTCAGCCTGCTCTCCAGCGGGTGGGGTGAGGCCCGCCTCCCGTGGGGAGGGCAGTCTGTCTCCCTCAGAGTTACTCTCATCTGAGCTCGACCTTCATGCGGCACATGACCTTCACCAGGACACGGGGGCCCCGCCAGCCTGGCACATGCACTGAATCTCAGCCTTCCTCCTGTGACTTCTATGCACTGGTCCTGATTCCTCCCCTCTGGCGCCACACAGCGTAATTCTCCTCCTGGCATGTGCCGGTGATTCTCATACTTGACCACATCTCCCTTACGTGTCTTACTTTCTCCGGTCATATCAGAGGCACCACGGATTCCCCGTCTCTCCCCAGCCTCTGGTCCTGCTTTGGTTGCGTCTGGTCAGTGTGCCTCTCAAACCCGGGTCTCCGTGCCGTGGTTGCACCGCTGCACTTTAGGTAGTTGGGAAACGTTCCTTCTCCCAGTGTGTTTGCTGCTCACCTACTCAGACAGGCCTTTGCCCAGCAGTTGCCTAAGCTCCTGTTGTTTGCTTTGCTTCCCAAAACAGAAGAGGTCAAACTGCAGGAGGAGCGCTCTCATCAGACTAAGAGTGGTCAGAAAATTAAATAACACAGGAATCTTGGAAACTCCTGGTTAAATCAGTAGAAGCAGTGTTTTTCACACACTACCTGTCCTGAAAGTTGAGGAGCCGTGGTGGCATGCTGCAGACCCACCACTAGAGGGCGGGGCGAGCTCTGTCTTCCAAACCTGCAAAGAGCTGTTGCAGGAACTCCCAGGTCTAGTCTGAGGGGCAGAAGGGTCGTGGCCCCATCCTGACTTACTGAAATACCTTATGTCTCTTGTGTGTACAATGAATTCCTGGCTTTGACGTCAGTCAAAGAACCAGCGGATGATAAAACTTCTCTTATTTTTATGCTGGGGCCAGAGGTCGGAGGTGGAGGCCTGCTGGTAGTCAAGGTTCAGGCTACCGGGGTTCTGCCCCAGCCCCCATGTACCAGCTGTGTCCTTCGGGGCTCATCTTCAAGCTTAACTCCTTCATCTTTAAAGTGGATTGCTAATACCCTTCTTCACAGGTTGTTGTGCCGGGGATTTGGGGCGTTTGCCCCTGAAAGCACGCATTTAATTTTATCTGTTGAAGTTATTATCCTTGATTTTGTGGTTAGACTTGCCAAAACCACACAGTGGATAACAAACCTCAACTTGACAGCCAAGTCTCTTGGCCACTGCTTTTTCTGAGCTAAATGTCAGTTTATAGAGTGGCAGTCTTCATGCTAATTTTGTAATTTTAGAGTCACCAAATATGGTTCCCTGCTTTCTGTCTTTGGTGGCCCGACCGCAAAAATGCATGCCGGCCTGGGACTGTCCCCAAACCGAGTGCCAGGGTACAGTGGACTGGGCCACCTGTCTGTGAGCACCTGCACAGCAGGGCCTGTGTCACGCTCACCTCTGTGTGCCCGTTGCTTACACTGCCCACAGTGAGCAGCCCCACCCACCATCCCGTGGTAGGTGGGACAGGGAGTGGCGCCCTGCCCGGGGCAGCCCCCTTCCTGCACCCATGAGACGCCTTTTCTTATTCATGCCTGACAACTGCCTGAAGCCCCTAGCAGCCCCATCATTCCAAAAAAGGAAAATAAATAGGCACAGAGATTTAAATATTTTCCAAAGTCACGCAAAGTCGTGAAGCTGGGACTTGTGTGTTCCTAACTGCTGTTTTGACGTTTCTATTTTCATTCTTTCATAGCCCACATCTTGGGTACATTCTGCTTAACCAACGTCTTGCTACACTGGGTGCTAGATATGATGTTTTGCTTCTCAACCCCCCTTCCATTTGTATGTGAAGGTATTTTGTAACACAAACGTGGAATTAATAATATACATTCTTTATTTTCAGCACTTGCTATGTTACTAAGAACACTTCTGTTTTAATACAATAACACAAGTCTTTCTGCTGCCACCACATTCAGTGTTCTTTGACTGCACTCTGAAAACTTTTTGCATTTATTAATTTCTGTATAAACCAACTTATCTTATTTTAAAACTTTGTATAAAGTCTCATTTGTTTTATTAGTTTTTTGACAACTAAAGAAATTTGGCATTTCAACTCCTAATTACTATAATTAAGAATGTAGAAAGTATTGAATCATTCTGAGTTACTTTTAAAAATCTTTTTTTTTTTAAACGAGCCTCCCTGGGTATTAATAGAAGCTGTGTTGTTGATCAAGAGCTTGTCCACTAGAGGGCAGTAAAAGCAGCTTAAAAAAAAAAGACTCATTTACTTACTTAATGTTACCTACTTAATCCTAATAGGATAGAGATGTTATTGAAATGGTTTTTTTTTTCCAATAACTGACTTGACTTCTTTTTTATCCTAGGCAAAGTTGGATATTGCATTTGGAACACACCACACGTAAGCAGTTTTTTTGAAAGGGGAGAGGGTACGGTTCTAGGGGACCAATGCATGCTGTCCTCAGAGGGCACTTAGAGGGACTCGAGTGTGATGACTTTGCAGGGGAACCTGTCAGTAAAGAATTAGAGGAAGTGGCGTTGTTTTCTAGCAGCCTTAAGACAAAATCCTGGGATCCAGCTTCAGCAGCAGGGCCTGAGCCCCTGGTGCAGTTTCTGCGTTCCGTTCGGGGCGTCCGTCACAGGAGGGGAGAGGCCCTGGTGTGCAGTTGCGGTTGTGGGCGTGTGTGTGTTAGTGATGTGCCTGCAGGCTCCTCCGCCTTAAAGACAGGCTGGTGATTTTCGTGAGAGTCTGAGTTGCCTCACATAGAATATTGAGGGTCGGCTCCATCCTGGGACGGAAAAAGATTGTTTTACAGAAGGTCGTCACCTCAAGAGGCCGATGCCTGTTCTAGATCAAGACGTCTCAAAGATTTCCTTTGGAATACTTTTCTGAGCCCTTGCCAAACAGACAGGGAAAACTTCTCTGTTGCTTCCCATTTCGCACATCATACCCAGTTATCAACTGGACTCCTGTTTTAGGTGAGTTTCACAGCTGTTTTCGCTGAGTCCTCCTTTTACATGTATGTGAGCGCATTTCAATTTTTTTTAAATAAATCCCCCTTCTCCAGAGAGGATGTGTGAGGTGGATGTGACAAATCCTCGTCTTTCATCGAGACCAGTCATGAGCTGGGTAGCCGGCCACTTGCGGCGTGTTCCTTCGGGTGTCTGTCTGTCTGTCTGCAGGGCAAAAAGGAGTCTCCAGGAGGGAATGTGAGCATTCGTGATCAGTGCTCCTCGTGTTACAGTGACGTGACACTGTAGCATGCGTTCAGCTTCCCTGTTACACATTGAAATTGTGTTTTGCCAACGTGCTTTAAAGAAAGGAACCAGAGTGGACAGAGCTGGGCCATTTGGTAAAAGATACCCACCAGCCCTCCAGTATCTGGTCTTAGGTGCTGTTCAGTAGACGTTGCAGCATTTACCAACCTTCCCGAATTGGGAGCTTCAGTCCAATAGAGGACAGGCTTTGAGGGTTGTTGACAGTGGACTCAGGCCCCCAGCTCCCGCGGCGATTATTCCTTGGGTAGCATTGAGTCCACAGGGTGTTACTTTCATCAGAGGATGCAAAGTCGCCTTGAATTAAGGCAGCTCAGTGTCTTTCCTAAACCGTCAGTGCCAGGTTCGGGTGCTGGCCACACGGTCCCTGCCAGCAATCAGCAGTTCATGGGCACAGTCACCCTGTTTTTGACAGGCTAGCAGACAGCAGAGCTTGTGGCTTTGACCCCGGAGGGACCGAGCATGCTGGGCCTGGCCAGGACCTAAGGCAGGAATGCTCGGCTGAGCCCAGAGGGGCCATCCCTTTTTAAGGCTATTCGGAAAAAATCGGGGTCCTTCATTTTTTAGGCCAGAGGCTCCACGTAGCAGTTTTCCTTGGGCGGGTGCTGGAGATGGGAATTTCTGTTTGCTCGCTGCTGAAACAGACTCCTCGTTCGCTCTGGTCCATCCTACCCTCCCCAACAAATGCACGCACTTTGCAAGTTCTTTCCTCCTCCGCCTCCCATCAGACACCCTTTCCAGTTAAACCCAAAGAGTTCTTCATTCGAAGTTGTAAATGCTTCGGTGCGTAATTAGAGAACTTTTCCCAACTACACAGCGTGTGTTGTTTACATTTTCTTAAAATGACAGTATCTTGTAGGAGATTAAACTTACATCTTGAAATTACTTCCAGTTGCTTATTTTTAAATGTTTTAGGAATTATTCATTAAATATCTGTTACGTTCTCGAAACACAGCTCTAGGGGATATAAAGTGTTTTGAGATGGTTTTTGTTCTTGCAGCTTTTAGTCAGAGGCAAGACAAGCGTATGATTTAGAAAAGGAGGAGCCCTTCCAGCCCATGGTGGCCGCTGTAAACCACCTCCCAGCGCAACAGAGTGAGGCTGCCACAGGACACAGGGAGCGGCCTTGAGATCCCGTTCACTTGGGCAGGCCTGTCTCGGCCGTGGGCTCTGGGCCAAGCATCGGGAAGTGGCCAGGTGTGGCCCATCCTCCAGGAGCCCAGAGTCCGTTGAGGCACGTTGGACATGCTCCATCCGTACTTCGGCGGCAGGCCCTGCGAGCCCAGGCTGTCCCCCTTGCAAGGCTGCGAAGTGCTGAAGCTCTTTGGTTCCCCCAGAGCTAGGGGCAAGGTTAGCTTGGTGGCCCTGAGAATCCTGGGTGGGAAGGAGGGAAGCCAGAACAGCTCCCTGCCCACTGCCCCTGTCTAACAGGGACTGGCCACAGTGTGTGTGTGTGGGGGGGGGAGACATGTCTCTTTCCACTTCCACCCGCAGTCACCTGTCTCCCCCAGATTACATCATCCCCTCGCCCACTCCTACCCTAGTGCAGTGAAACATGCAACCCCTTGTCTGTCCCCACAAAGCCACATGCAGCGAGAGGACGACCCGGCACGTCTGACCCAAGCAAGCTCTTCCTCTGGCTGGTTCTGTGACTGTCGCCTTCCCCAGCCATGGGTTCCCCAGTGGAATGGGTCTGGTGGCGCCAGCTCCGGGTCACTGTGGGCACACGGCGAGCTGGCGTCCTGCAGAACCTCCAGAAGAGTTTCTGGCACAGAGGGCTCTGCAGACGCAGGTTTCTTTCCCCCTTCATGGAATTGCTTCAGATTTGGCAGGTGTCCCTTTTTGCTGCCCCTGCAGCTCAGTAGGTAACATGCAGGCCAGCGTTCTTCAAGGGAAACCCCACATCTTACCCCTTTTTATCCATTTTCACTTGTGACCTGACGGGCACGAGCCATCCTGTCTCTGAAAGGATTCGTGGGACTCCCCCAGGTTCGTTCACTGTTCTGCGCTGGGGCTCACTGACGTCAGTGCGTGGTTCCCCTTGTAATTGGTGCCTCGCTTAGTGGAAATATTTGTAAAACGCACATCACGAATTCTTATTCTTAATTATAATCAGCTGCAAATTTGGTAACTACATAAATTTGCCCAGACTCCAGAGCGTACGTGTCACAGATGGAGGGAGGCTTGGCTCAACAGCTGTCGCTTCCCCACGTTAATTTGCTGCTTGCTGGCGCGGCTCAGATTCCCGTCTTGGCAGGAGCGGAATCCCGTTCTCTGCTCGCACATCCTCGTCCGCGTCTTTTTATGCTCAGCCCATCCTGTCCAAACACTGCCGGTGTTGTTGATCAGAGAGAATAACGGATGAATGACCTCTGTCAGTAAATGTTCAGTACCATTTTGGCCTTGAGGAGAGAGTCTCTGGTTGGACAGGGAGCTCAGATTCACCTGAGATAATTAGAAAACAATCAGGAAGCCAAGAACCATCCAACGGTGCGTGACAGAAGAAAGCGAGGCATCGAAGGACTGACGGAGTGAACCGGTGAGCGAGAGCGCTTTACATCCAACAAAACACTGCCGTACTCCGTTCTCACAACCACGCAGGGAAGTGAAAAGGGGAGGTGGGTTGGGCCTTCACATCACAAGTAAAAAAATCAAGGTTCGGCCACTGAATGACACAGCATCGTCACACAGCGTCTGCCCGACGAAGGCTGGAGCCGAGGTGCCTGGGCTTCCCACGAAAGCCCCTCTGGCTGTGCCGTCCCCTCTCGCTGCCATTAAATGGTGTCTGGTGGCCGGAAGCCTGCAAAGGCCCCATGGGGAAGAGAGGACTCACCTAGGACTGATGGAGAAAGAAGAAGAGTTAATGGAGAAGAAAAGGGGAGACAGACCTCGAGTCCAGGCACACTGGTGACAAGTGTGGCACCTGTGCAGGGTGAAAAGGCAGCTTCTTTCAAACTCTTGGTAAACGGCAACCCGCGGTGAGAAAGAATCGTTGGTTTTAGTTTCCCACACACGTCTCTGCTTATCTGGTGTCGTGCGGTCCATGTACCAGTACTGAACTGAAGGGGGCGCAGTGCGCTGAGTTTATCGTTTATTCTGGGGCGGTTTTTTAAAAATGCTAGTAATGACGCAGTGAGAGGTTGCAACCATTCTTTGGAAAACACTGGACAGGAAGGGTCCTATTGTCCCTAATAGTGACAGATGGTGCTGAATAGATGGCAGGGGCCGCCTGGAGGGGCAGGGCCTGAACGCCAGGCCTGGCCGTGGGGGCAGGACGGACGGGGCAAAAGCGCACGGACCACCACGCACTCGAGCATTTTGGAAGGTGGTTTTCTGCCGAGCGTTTGAGCAGACCTTGATAATATGTAGAAGAAAGGGTGATTATAAACATTAAAAGTTTGGGTAATATGGGAGTTTGGAGAATTCCTTTCACTATTACATTTGCACTAGGAAGGTATTACGTTTTTTGAAAGTGCTGTTAATGCTTTCTGACGCCTTTTCTGGTTTTGAAGGAAAATGATGCTTCTGCTGTACGAAGAAGGCCTGCGGGTTGTCATCCACACCGCCAACCTCATCCGCGAGGACTGGCACCAGAAGACGCAGGGGTGCGTGGCTTCCGTCCACGTCACGGCTGTGGCGGGTGTGCCGTGGCGGGTGTGCTGTGACAGGGTGTGCCGAGGCGGGTCAGCGGCCACAACACTCGCTCTCTTTTCTTTCCTTTTCTGTCCTTCTGATTGTATAAAACCCACTCGTGTGGCGCAGAAGAAATACGTGGGCAGAAGAGAAGGATAGCAGTCTTCTAGTATTTTCCCCCAGTTTCTCTCTCTTGAGGTGACCAGTGTTACCAGGTTGATGCATAATCGTCCATAACTGTCTCTGGTCTACATGTAAACACAGGCAACTGTCTACACTCACCAGGTTTTTTTCATTGTTTTTACAAAATGGGATTTTACACATTTCACAGCCAAGTACATCCAAGTGGCTGAGGCAGGAAAGAGGACACCGGGTGGAAGGTCTGAACGTGCCCCGGTCCCAGCGAGACCTGCCAGAGGGCCTCTAGTCTCCGAGTACCCCTGCGCCCACTGGCGCCTGGGCTTGCCCTTCCCGGTGGGCGTCGCAGGAAAACCCGGGGGTGGCCACTGCTAGGAGTCTCCTCGCCCCTGACCAGCGTGGTTTCCCACAGGACGAGTCCACACTGGCGTCTTTTCAGGGCCCCTAACACGTTCAGTGGGGCTGCGAGTCATGGAACTGACAGGGAGGTGGTTCTGCCTTCGTTTGCATTACTAACCCTGTGTCCTTGGCACATGTATGTTGGGTCTAGTTTATTCTCTTTTTTCAGGAGGGGTTTGGGTTTATTTTCAGGGATTTTCCCAGATCAAGTTGTAACATTGTTCTCCCTCCTGGTAAGCCCTTCATTGTAACAAGCTTTAACTTTCCTTTATATAAGCCGTTTGGTTCTTCTCTGCCTGCTGTTCAAGATGGCTAAGTGGTGGTTAATAGCTTCTGTGTTAGAAGGAACTCAGGCCTTCCTCCAGGAGCCTTTCAGGGTCCAGGTGTTCTCCACTGTCGTCCTCCGCCTCTCCCCCCACCAACTCTGCCCCATATCATTGCCCCCACCCCAGCTTGGCTAGAACCCCTAACTCGGGAAGTATCAGCTGCCTGAGTCCACTCCCACCATAGGCTGGGCTACAACATAGAGCCTTCCAGCCTCCCCCTGCTGGGCCTGCTTTGACCTAAAGGTGCGTGAAGAAGCAGAGGTACCTGCCCCCTCCAGACAGCCTGTCCGGTGTGAAAGGTGGTCTTCCCTGAGCCAAGCACCTCTGGGTCCCTCTGCACTCCCCTCCCCACCCCCACTTCCTGTCAGCTCTCTTTCAAACACGTTCTGGTTTGAGAGTCACACAATATGCATCTCGATATGCAGTGTGACTCCGACTGGTGCAGGGTCAGGGGGACCCTCATTCCGCCTCACAGGTGCTACATGGGTGCAGTCATGGCCAGAACGTGCGGGGTTACAGCAGTGGGTGTGGGTTTGCTGCAACAATTGAGAGTAGAGTGATTAACTGTTGTCCGCACACTTCAGGAAATAGTATGGCAGGAAGGAAGAGGAGGGAGGTATGAACGGGTGAGGAGGAGTGTGGAGGGGTGGAACAGGGAGAGGTGGGCAGGAGGCCCAATCTTCCTGCGTCTGAGCTCACAATGAGGCGTTCAAAAGTGATCCTGAACACGATGGCTTCCATCCGAGTGCCGTGGTCGGGTTTACGTTCCGTGAGGGCCACCCTGCTTAGCTGGTGGAGCTGGGCAGTGGGGGTCCGCCCTTCCTCCGGGGAGCGCAGTCTGTGCAGAGGCGGCACTGGGACCGGTTGCGTGCCTGCCTGTTGATAGTCACCTTTTCCCCATTGCAGAATATGGCTGAGCCCTTTGTACCCACGAATGGCCCACGGAGCCCACACGTCTGGAGAATCGCCTACACGCTTTAAAGCTGATCTTATCAGCTACTTGACGGCGTATAACGCCCCCCCTCTCAAGGAGTGGATAGACGTCGTCCAGGACCACGACCTCTCTGAGACCAAGTATGTGTCGTCCTCGCAGTTGGCAGGGGGGGCTCACCGTAGGTGGTGCCTGGGAGCCTCACGGGTCTGGGGCGCAGGGGTCTCGGAAGGAGGCTGAGTGACGCTTGGCTACCCTTACACGACGTGACGAAAGCAGAAGGCTGTCGTTGTACATCTCCTGGTTCTCAGCCACCAAAGTGAGGCCGGGACATCCTCCCGCAGACCCTCAGCCTCCTTCCTAGACAAAGACTCTCCAAGTGAAGGGGCTCTTCGCCTGGCACCTTACACCAGTAGGGGAGGTGCTCAAAGAGGAGTTTAAGTCTCTCTCACTACTCTGAGGAAGCATCCCAAGGAAATGAGCTGGCTCATAAAACATCTCCTGGTTACATTAGTTTTCATCTGGGCATCCATAAATCACATCACTGATGCCCTGTAACTTACATTTTGTGTCTTCATAGTGTTTACCTCGTCGGATCAACCCCAGGACGCTTTCAAGGAAGTCAAAAAGATAACTGGGGACACTTTCGGCTTAGGAAGGTAACAGAATTTTTACTAGTTCAACATTTTTAAACATTTGCAGGGGTGTCCAGCCTGCAGCCCAGGATGGCTATGAATTCGGCCCAACACAAAATCGCACATGTACTTAAAACCTTTTTTTTGCTCATCAGTTTTCGTTAGTGTTTGTGTGTTTAATGTGTGGCCCAGAGACACCTCAAGGTCGGACAGCCCCGAATGTGTATAGTCTGTTGCGATGTCTGTCGTCTCCTCCTTCGTTTGTGATTGTTTTGTTGGCAGCAGCACAATATCTGTAGCGCAGCTCTGGGCAGATAGTAAGCACGTGCTAGATTGTCTAATTACAGTTCTCCGTGATTTTAAAAGTTGTGTTATGCCTCTCCTGTAGGTATGAACTGTTCTAAATGGACTTTTAGTTACATATCTTATAATAACGATAATTAGAGACTTCTCATTTTGTAGCACTTGATCCGCATGTCAAGGACTTTTAACCCACAAATTCAGCACAGAAGAGAACAGTGTTGCCGGGAGGCTGCAGCTGAGCTACAGTGTGTTTTGTTCCCTAAGCCAGTGCCCTTAGGAGAATTGTTACTACGAAAATGACATTGGCTGCTGGTATGAAAATGAACAAAGAAAGCCTTTAACGCAGTAAAACTACAGGCAGTTGAACATTAAAGTTTCCTCCGTCTCCTGTCCTGACCCACGTGGTTCAGTTGGTCAGCATCGTCCCGCAGAGCAGAGGGGCCTCAGTGGTCCGACGCCTGGGCAGGGCACGTGCCAGGGTCTGGTCCCTGGGCAGGGAGCTGCCAGAGGCAGCGGTTGGTTTTTCTCTCTCACATTGATGTGTGTGTGTGTCTCTCTCTCCCCCTCCCTTACCCTTCAGCTAAAAATAAGATATTTTTTTAAGTTTTCTTTATCTCCTCTTAGGAAACCGTTTACTGACCTTAGTAATATTCCTAAAGTGTCTTCCTTAAAAGCCTTACCTCTTTTTCCATAAATTGTTTATGTTATGTAAGAATTGTCCTTCGTTAATGAAATTTAAAATTTTTTTTTAAATGAGACTACAGCTGAACGGAGGCAAGATCTGGCAGCCAAGCGCTCAGTTCACGCCTGCAGGAGAGGCATAACAAACGCTAGGTCATGACCTTGCGTGGCTGGCTGAGTGCACAGCCTCGTGGGTGCCTGGGCTCCAATCCTGATCTGCTGTGCTCAAGTCACGTGACCTTGGCTTGCTTTTTAACCTGCCCCTCATGTCTTCTGTAAAATGGGCACAACAGTAGTGCTTCGCTCCCAGGAGTGTGTAAGGGCTGAATGAAACAGTGGGTGTGGCCACAGGCCGAGTGTTCCATCAGCACCAGCGGTAGTTTGTGGTCGGGCTGCTCGGGCTGTGGGGGATCGAGGTCTCACTGGACGCTGAATAGCATCTTAGAGTTTTCCAGCCATTTCTCATGCCCGGGAGCTCATGTTGCATCCCAGCTGCCTTCCAGGGCAGTGGGGGGATGAACAGTCTGCTTCATTGATGTGAACGGAGCAGGTGGTCTTGTCCAGGGTCACGCAGCCCACCAGGGTCTCATCGTTGTCAGCTCAGCCTTGCTCCCTACACCGCGCTGCACCCACAGTGCAAGCCAAGAGCCTACACTGGGCTTTTCAGCAGCAGTGATTACAAATATTGATGCCTGAGCTGTGGTAAAGAAAATACCACGCGTTAGAGTAAACAAGTCAGAGTAGAGGAACCAGGGTTCAGTTTCCTTGCTCTCTCCTGCCTCTGGGCAGCTACTCGGTGCGAATGTGTAAGTGGATGAGACCTCCAAACGTTTTCTAAATGGTCTCTGAAGCTTTTCACAAGTATCAAAGCAGGAAATACAGGTCAATCCTGGCGTTCGAGGTAGTGTTATCTATACGTAAGTAGGTTCTCTCCTATGTTAACAGAGCTACCTGGAGTGCATGCATTAAATTTCTTACAGTTGGTAGGAGTCAGAGTGCCCCGTAGTTCAGCCGTCATGTATGCTGTAGGTGTGTTAAACAGTTACGATTTCAGTGCAAAAATGTAACTTCGCAAGGCAGTTTGGTAGTTTATCTGACATCCCCACTAGTCTACGTAGACCTTTTAAAAACAGTTTAATCTGTTCTTGCTTTTAGTGCAAATCAAAGAAATGAGGAGAAGACTTCTCCTGTCTCCTTACTCCAGTAAAATATTTTTAGAGGTTAAAAAGTATTCCCCAAAGAAGGAAAAGATGTGTGGTTGTGCATGAAGTTGATCACTCATATTTCCAGCATTTCTTTGTTAATCGGGGGATTCAAGGTGGGAAACCGTGCCCTGAGTCGTGACAGTGTCTCTGTTCGAGTGACGGCTGCGTTCACTGTTCCTCTTCCCAGCTTCTGAAAGAGCACACCTCGTCCACACCCGGTGCGGAGGCCTGGCCCATCATAGGCCAGTTCTCAAGCATCGGCTCCATGGGGGCCGACGCTTCCAAGTGGTTGTGTTCCGAGTTTACAGAGACCTTGGCCACGCTGGGGAAGGAAAGCAGGGCCCCAGGGAAAGGCGGCGCTCCTCTCCATTTGGTGAGTGCTCCTCCTCCTTGGTGGGGGGGGGGGGGCAATTACCTGCGTGTTCCAGTCCAGGAGAGGAATCAGGAATCGGTCCTCCTGTGGAGGAGAGGTTTTATTCATTAGCTTGGGACGGAAACAGCAGTCTCTGTAATCAAGGGCTCTCATCGCGTGGTGGTTGGGGCCAAATCACCGGTCAGCGGCCAGTGAGCCTGCAGTTTTCGGCCCCGCCCTCAGGTCGTCAGCCCAGGAAAAAACCTTTGGTGAAGCATTGCCGACAGAATTAGGAGCGTGATTAATTATTTAGACACCTCTGAATTCATAGTTCATTTTGAATGCATTCAATTCAGTGTTAATATGGTATTTAAGAGGAAAAACTCAAATCGAAGTATAATTTTTTTTATCATCAAATTAATTACCAGAAGTTCTTTTTTTTTTTTTTTTTTTTTACGAAATGGGAACTTCTTAACACTTAAAGCATGTTTCTTTGAGGTTTTCATTTTTTAAAAAACCAGTCAGCATGCCTTTTAACAAATAGTTTCTTCAACATGGTACCTTCCTAGTTTTATTGAGTTTTTTTCTTCCTTATTTGTAGATCTATCCTTCTGTGGAAAATGTGCGGACCAGCTTAGAAGGATATCCAGGTAATTGTTGGGAAAGCTATCACAGTTGTACTTTGTGTATATTTCATAAATGCCCTGGTAAACTTGTAAAAATATGCAGTGAGAACACCTTCCTCCTTGGGATGTGAATGTATTGGCTACAAATTTGGAGATAATTTTTATCTTGACAGGAGTCATGAAATGAGGTAACATTGAGCACTGGCAATGTTCCAAAGATGATACAGGAAGGCAATTTGTGAATGTTTTTAATCCTTGCAGTAACCCTCCGAGTCAGAATCTCATCCTATAGAGATTTCAATAGGGCCTTTCTCAGCTCCGCCACCAACAGACCGGCTGTCCAAGCAGACACCCGAGTCAGACCAGCCGCCCCTGCTGCCCCTGCCTTTTCCAGCACTTGTGACTCGCCTCGCTCTGCTCGCTCCCTCTCTCCACATCCTGTGTCTGTGTCTGCGTCTGGTACTGCGTGCCTCTTTCACGTGCAAATCCTGGATACAGGTGTATTTAAGGTTCAGAACTTATGCTTGATATTGAGATGAAACCTTTCATATAGCCTGATTGATACACCTGATCTCTCAAGGGCCTCATCTGTGAGTGCCTACAATTATTTTGTAGATGTCACCGGGTTCTCCGTTTCTCTTATACCAGGGCCAGACACTAAACTTCTATTTGAAATTCAGTTCCCCGAATAATGCCTTCGGGAGGTAATGACCAAAACCCTAAACAATGTACGTCTCTGGAAAAAAGGAGGTCTGACTGGCATTTGCTATGGCTAGAAGCAGAATACTCTGAATTTGGGCTAATTTTACCCACCTAATGCTTGTCAAACCAGATGTGACCCTGTGGGGAAATATCCATAGGGTTTGCAGTGTTTTAAGCCATTTGTTGCTTTTTAATGACAAAGGTAAAATTATTTCACTGAGACTCAGGGACATAGTGGGGTACTTTTTGTTCATTTCTTTGTTTTTGGTCTTCTTCCGGCACTTCTAATAGGCTAGATCCATTCAAAGCACACTTTTTAACAGAAAAGAACATGGTATTTCCAATTAAGCTACTTTACAACTGGCCCTGAAACCCTAAATATGTTTTTAGCGATTTGACAGGAGAGGCCACCTGTGGTAAAAGGTGGAGAAAGTTAAAGCCCCGCGGGCAGAGGCTCCTAAGGAGAAGCTCCGTCCTGCGTTTGGGAAGTGACTGATGAACCTACAGTGGAACTTCCCTCCTGTCAGAGATGAACAAAAAAGTTGGCCTCTAATCGTGTTTCACTTGGAACCATATCTTTATTTTCTTCGCAGGAACATGGCTTTTAGAATTTCTCTTTCAAAACTTACCTGTTCACTGACACTTCCTTTCATTTCAGTGACCATCCTTTCCCTTTGGTAAGAATCTGTTTAGCGTGCGCTCTGTTGGGAGGCAGCAGAGTAGCAGGCGAAGGAGGGCGGAGAACCAGATTCTCCCAGGAGTTCCACCCTGCTCCGCCCGAGTGCCCTGGCCTTGGGCAAAAACGGGGCGCCCCGCACCCCAGCTAGCCTTCACGGGGACAGCGGGATGGGCCAGGATTCTCTCTGTGTTTCCTTCTAACACTTCCAATTTCTGCTGTTACAGATATCAAATTACCATCGCCGGGTGACTAAATACCTTTCTTTTGGTAGACAGTATACATTTACCTTTAATTTACATCCCCAAGAAAGGACGCCCCAATGAGAGCACGTACCTGTGCAAGTACAGACGTTTTTCTTTCAAAAAACTATAAGATGAAACAATGGAAGTAGTTTTGGGTTGGTTTTTTTTTTTTCCCCTTTAAGCTTCTCACTGTTTACTATAGATTTTTCTTCTTAATGAAGGATCCTCAAAGTATATTTCATAAGTTTTGTTATTTACTTCATTTTTCTTCTTCCAAAAGCTGGGGGCTCTCTTCCCTATAGCATCCAGACAGCGGAAAAGCAGAGTTGGCTTCATTCCTATTTCCAGTAAGTAATTGGTTTAGATGCTGCTGTTGCTTCCTTTGGAATAAGTGTGTTATTTATGTCATATTTTTTAAAAGAGCCTTACATAATATAGCTATGTATTTTAGCTACATATGTTAGTGACAGAAATAATTTGAAAAACGGTTTTGAACACTTTTGTGGAATAGGTTTTTAATGCTGAAGAGAATAATCGATCTCTGTGGCATTTCTATTTATACATTGGCACACAAAGAAGAAGATAAAGTGAGAGAACATGTTGGATAGTTTAAAATTTACATAAGTACCTTTTGGTTCATGTTCCCAGTGTGCAAAGTGCAGTCATTCTGTCTGCACAGCCCCGAGCTGTGTGCCTGCCAGCCTGCTGAGGGTCGGTCCTCACATGCTTTCCCAGCACAGGGGTAGCACCGGTTCGTAGGAAGAGTTCCCTGCGGGGCTGAACGGACAGGCAGCAGGGGAGTCCCTTGTGCTCCAGCCACAGCGGTCACACATCTGCGTCTTCCAGGCTGATCCCAGTTCCATACTTGCTGCAAAATCCACTTATTTTGCTAAACAGCCAGAAACAGAGGCAGATCACCTTCCCATCTGACTCCGTAGTGTGTCATCCGGAGCCTTCCTGTGATGCTTTCTTGGGAGGGTGTCCCTTACAGAGGACATCGGGTTTTGCAGACAGTCTGTTCTCTAAGGGACCGTCCTCCTATAAGTGAGGGTTGTCGCCTCAGGATAGATGGTATTCTTTCCCACGGCACCTCTGTCCTGTGACATGGCAGACTTAGAAACCAAACCAAAGATGTGTGAATGCAGCATTCAACTCAAGTGTTTCTGATTTGTGCCCCTGCTTTTCAACTTTCCATTACAATATTCATACTGTTGTGTTTTTCCTACTTTGTATTGTGTTTTATCAACAATCTTTTACTGAGCCTCTACTTAGCACTGTGTTGTGAGCACAGTTCCAGCTTTTGAGAACTCACAGCCTGGCTAGGAGATGAGATGTGCAGACGTGCTGTGAAAAGCACAACAGACAGAATATGGCATTTGCATACTTGTGTGCATTCATAGCAAAGAAGCCAGGAGCGCCATGTGCCAGAAGGTGCTCGTTGTGAATGGTGGTAAATTTTTCTCTACATTCCTGCATTCTAAAATGAACGAGCATTATTCTGCTACCTGAGCAGAGTGTGAGAAGATACCACAGGTGATATCAAAGGGAATTGTGTACTCACCATTCTTTAGATTATAGGATTTGGGTTTTCCAGCACTTTCCTAATGTGAGGATCGTGACCAGTTTGTATTTTCTTATCAGTGATCTGTGTCTTTCCTGTCACTAGCAAATGGTCAGCGGAGACGTCAGGCCGAAGCAACGCCATGCCACACATTAAGACGTACATGAGGCCTTCTGCAGACTTCGGTCGGATTGCGTGGTTCCTTGTCACAAGGTAAGTAGTCCTCATGTTCCTGATGGGAGAGGTTCATAAATGTGTGTGTAACTCCTACTCTGAATGCCACATCGTTTTCTAAAGAGTGACTTTATGAACTGTCATTAGTTCTGTGTGTGTGTGTCCTACATGCGCCCTGTTGAAAGGAGGCCCGGAACCAATCCCTTTGTAGAGGTCGTAATCATGGCCTGATTTTGTCCACGTGGCACTCCAGCATTATTACAGCACCCCTGAGAGACGCAACCTAAATAATTTAGAGAATGCTTAGCACCCAGTCTTAGCCCCCCAAAACAAGGGAAGATGTAGACCCCAGATATAAGTGACACCTGCCAGCAACACCGTTCTTTTTGTTTGTTTGTTTGCCACTTTATCTCAAAGTCAGAACATCCCAAACTGAGCCCGTCCATCCAGGAGGAGATTTTTTCCCAACATCCCTCTGTGCTTTAGAGGCACCTGCCCACAGTCTCATCATCAGGCTTCACGCCCGGCCATGCTCTTGCTCTGATCCTTCCTTTGAGAATTCTGCAGCATTGACTAAAACCCCTCCCCCTGTGGATGCTGGACACACAGGATAAAACAGTAAGATTTACGTGGTGCGTTTGAGATGCTCACAGTTTCAGAGATGTCAGAAAACACACAAGTGATGACAACAGGGAGAGAACACACTTGGTACAGACTGAGGTCTAGAGTCTCAGGCTGGCGTTTACCTTAGCCACACCATTCTCAGCTTTCTTACCCTGTGCTCCCCAACATGTGCTTCCAGAAGCAGCCAGGCTTCTCTCCTTTGCCCCTGAAACCATCCTGCCAGAAGCCCAGGTATTACGGTGCCCTCTCCTGATTCCTCTTCTGCAGTCTCTGCCTCCCCAGTTGCGCTCAGGTCTGGCGTCATCTCTTCCCAGAGGCTTTGCCAGCCACCTCTGGTCTCTCCCTCCTCCAGATCCCTAGAGCTGCGTGCTCCACTTACTATCCATTCCAGACACCCTTCTGAGCACATTTCATTCTCTCTCTTTCATAGCCCTCACACCAGTTCCGCAGTGTAGCTGTTAATCCCCCGTACAGATGGGCGCACTAAAGCACGGAGAGGAACCTGGGGCGGCAGGAGGCTGCTCGTTCAGTAGGGTGGTCGGGGAGGCCTGGCCGTGTGGTGACCTTCAGAGCAGAGGCCTGACAGGAGGGAGGGGGCCGTGTGGGCAGGTAGCCGGGGGGACGCTTTCTGGGCAGTGTCAGGAACATATTCACTGTGTTTGAGAAACAGCAGAGCGGTTCTGCTGGAGTGAGTGGGGCAGGAGGGCAGGGGAGGTCAAAGCAGCAGCTGTGGCCAGACGGCCTTTCCCTGCTGCAGAGACAAAATTACTTTTGCCCGGCGTCTCCTAGGTTTCCTGAAGCTTCATTAGTTACGGGTCTACACAAGGCAGTTCTGTGTCTGTGTATTTGGTAATTTGGATTGATTAGAATACTGCTTTTTACGTTATTTCATGGGGCTTTCTGGAATAAGACGTTTCGATATGGTTGGCTTTAGCTTATGCTCAAATAGTGTTTCTCAATGGGGCACTATTGGCATTTGGGTCAAGATTTTTTTTTTTGCTATGTCGCAGCCCCAGGCATTATGGGAAACTTAATAACCGGTCCCTCACATATTAAATGCCCCGTTGTGGTGAAGCCCCGCCAGATGCCCCCTGCATTCCTAAGTATCTTCTAGACTGTCTGTCCTGGTGGAAAATGTAATCACATTTGAGAATAACTTCAGAGCTGATACATGAGTGCCACTGTCCTTTCAGTCAATCCGTCCTCCTACTTTAGAGTGAGGAGAACCGTGCATTCTGGTCCAGATGAAGCGGTAATGCCTCGCAGACCTCACAGTCCATCACCCGAGTGGCTGATGTCTTATGTTCTAAGGATTGATTTTAGTAAAAGATATATACTTAAACAGCTACATAAATTTAACTGTGGGGGGACACTTTCCTACTTTGTAGATTATTACCAGTTAATGTTCATTTTGAGGACAAATAACTAATTCTTTTCTTAGTAAGTGACACAAAATTAAAACAGATTCTCCAGAAAAAAATCTTAATAGCAATAAGCAAGATGGAGTATAAGGAATATGAATTTTGACAAACATGATTATGAAACTTTCTGTAATAATCCAGATCCGCACACCTACAAAAGTGTTGCCCTTCAAGGGGGCCACGTTCTGAAATTCGGTACTTTTACCAAAATAGGCACTTCTCTGTTGCGAGCCTTGTACAGTCACACCTCAGTACTCGTCAGCTTCAGAACTCGTCAGACGCGGGATGCGGCACACTTCCTAGAACTTGAATGAGTCACACCATCACCCTGCAAGAGGCAATGCGTCATTGTTCGGTACTCACCCGTGGGTCACACATTCCAGGACGAATTAACGATGAGCACCTAGGTTCCACTGTGTCGGTCTGCTCCTGCTTCGTAATAAGTCACCGGAGACTAGGCAGTGTGAGTAAAGGGTCAGACTCTCAATCGGGGCTGTGGTCTCCTCTGAGCTCACAGGTCTGCAGAACTCTGTTGCTCACAGCTATAGGTCTGAGGTTCCTGCTTTCTTGGTGGCCCTCAACCAAGGTCCGTTCTCAGCTGAAGGGCCACCTCTGTGCCCTGTCACACGGTTCTCCAAACAGGCATTACTGTTTGCTTCTTCGAAGCCAAAGGAGAGTCTGTCTGTCTGTCCGGAGGAACCCAGTCACTCTTTTAAGGCCTCACGTGATAGGGTCAGGCCTACCCAGGACCATTCCAGACCTTGGATTAACCTGGTCTACTGGTGGGTAAGCTGATCGTGGGAAAGGACCTCGTCACGTTGGCAATTTCTTCTCACACTCAAGGGGACAGGATTATTCGGGGGGGGGGGCAGGGCAGGGGGTTCTGCCTTCCATGAGCCTCGTTGGTATTTACTGCCCAGTTTGCTTTAGCCATCTTATTCTCCAGCCTTGATTTGAAGTAATTTCTTAATTATTATCTCTGTTTTCAAAATTGAGGTCAAGTTTCCATAGTTAAACAAAACAGCTCTTATATTTGCTCAAAAGACGAGCCCCAGGCTCCGAGGGAGCTGGAGAAGCCAAGTTCCGTCGTTTCGTGGAGACAGAGCAGCGGCTGTGTTAGAGGGAGGGGGTGACGTGGAGAATCCCGTCCCCCGGGGTGCATGCCCTTGTTAGTAAGTCATACAGGATACATTGAGTCCCCCAAAGATCTGATTTCCCAACTTAAAGCAAACGAAAAACACAAAGGCTCATCGCCTTAGAGGCCTACTTCATGCATTTCCCACCGTGTGTACAAACCTTACTCACCCCTCCTCCTGCCGGTCCTCAGGAGAGGCCGTTGGCATCCTGGTCACGGTCACGGGGACTTTGTTTCATCCACTTGACATTTTGCAAATGTGGGGACTGGCTACCAAAGATCGGGGATTGAACTCTTACTAAGATGCTTATTAAAAATCACTGTAGTTTTCATCTCTTTTTTATTTTTCCTTTTAAATGCACACGAATCACAGTGGTTCATTTCCTCTCTGTCATTTTGTCACTGGGGTTCAAATGAAGACATTTTTCACAGGTCCTGGGCTATACTTCAGTGTGTAGTTGCCACGTCCCCGCGCACCGTAAAGTCTGCACCGAAACCACTTTTAACGTGGCTTCCACGTTGGTGGACTGACTGTTGGAAGTTTTTTCTACTCTAAGAACATAAGTTTATAATTCTTGCATTTCTTTTCCTACCAAAATACTCACCCTCTTGTTAGTAAGTATTTGTTTAGCGTCAGTATTTTTTTTGAGAAAAAAATAAACAGTGCCCAGTACAGTGCCTGGTTTATAACGGCTCTGAAAATCTTCAACAAATGAACGCTATCCCCGCTAAGTCTAATGACCTTTCATTTTCTAATTGCTTCTTGGGTTTTGGGGTTGTGTTTTCCTTTTTGTACTGCCCAGGACTTATCCTTCAAGTCTGTTTCAGATGTTCCCCTTTGAAACTCTTTGTGGTTCAGCAAACATAATTCACTGTTTCTTTTCCTTTGTGTTTTGTGGCACAAGCTTATTCCTTTTACATCTTCCTCATTGGTTCTTTGTGTTTGTGGGTCCCATTTCTTCAGTATATTATGAGGGGCTTGAGAGCAGGTTACAGGTCTTGCCCATCTTTCTGTCCTCAGCATCGAACACAGGGCGTGGTTCATGGTTACTGACCGACATGTGTTTGAACCAGAGCCATCTACAATGCTGGTTTTCTCAAATGGGCAACACGTGCACAAGATAGGAAGAGGGTGTGCCCCAGCCAGCCTGCTCGGGTTTTAGGTCTTACAGCTTTGACCCTGCCGACATCTTCAAACCCAGGTGTCCCCAGTGGTCGAACTGTCCAACCAGCCCACGTACTGTGGAGGAAATAGCACCAAAGCCGAGTCCAAACGTCCGTGTCCTGACTGGGGACGACCCCTTACTAGCCCTGCCACTTAAATTTTAGAAAAGCCATTTATAATCTCAGCTTCTATTTTACTTGTTGAATGCCCAGAGGATGATGATAAAAGAAATTTGTGGATTCCCTAATAAAGTATATGATGTATTAAAAATTAACAGTTTGACTGTTGTAGCTGCCAACTACTTATGTTACCATTAAGCTCATATTCGTTGGGCCTCCTTGAGATTCAAGAAAGCAGCTCATAACTTGCTTTGGGTGGTGAACACACAACACAGTGTACAGATGATATGTTATAGAATTTTACCCCTGAAACCTATATAATTTTGTTAATCAGGGTCACCCCAGTAAATTCAGTTAAAAAAATTTTTAAAGCTTGCGAAGCCTTTCTCTGTTTTGTTTATACAGCATATCGATATATACTATATGACCTAAAGGCTTGCCCATAGATGAGATACAGCCTTTTTTAACCTTTTCTAAACTTAATGTGGTTTATTTAAGAATTGCTCAAAATTATTCTAATCAGTTAGAACTTATTAGACGTTATGTTGGCAGCAATTTCTCTTTTGTCTGGTTGC